ACAGGATCCCAAAAGAAACAACACACGATAGATGAGGGAGGGTCTATACTTTATTAAACAATACACCAAATCGACGATGAAATAGGGCAAACGGGTTTGCCCCCCAAAAAACTAAAGGGTACCTATCTCGAGTGGAATGATCTCCATCATGCACGGTCAACTTTGAAACCTCGTTTCTCCAACAAACACCACCGGTAATGTACATCTACGACCTTGAGCGTGACGCCGGCTCTTCTTACATCTCACGTTAACGTATGACAAGGAAACACTTACGCAAAGCGAAGTTACAAGCGAAACAGTAAACAGTAGCAAACTCTCGCGGATTCTCGCGGATCACATTACCTTGGAAAAGAAGCGCGAGATTTAAACGAGATCTTAGAGAGAGCTGCGCAGAACCGATGCGCATAGCGGTCTGCGGTTCGACTGAGTGTTTGTCTGAGTTGTTTTAGTTGTCGAAAAAGACTATATTTGACGGAATGGCGACCGACAAGTATCTGACAGCGAGCCAGAAAGCCGTGGACTGTCTCCTGAAGACAATTTGCCAGCCAGACTTCAGGAAAGAACACAAGGACGTGGCCTTCTATTTCAAGTAAAATAATTTTTGACATAATTTTTTTGAAGACTCAGCTTACGACTTGGCGACTAGACGTGGCGACTCGGTAGTACCTTTTGTATGATAATACTGGATAGTATTATTATGCAAAACTTACCGAGTTGCCACGGCTAGACTTGTAAACGTTAACACACCTTGTTCAATTTAGTACAATTGTCAGTTATAATGTTTACATTTATGAAGAAAATGTGTTAAGTATTAGGACCCATTTTTCTCTTTCAGCAAGATATGTTCTGTTTTACATAAACAGTTAAATGCCATTCAGGGCGTAGCCATATAATAATTTGGGCGTAGCCATATATTATAACGTGAATAATTTATGTTATGCCATGAGTCAGCCATCTTCTGAACCATACAACTTACAAGCTAATTAGTAAAGACATGTTGTGGTGTAGCTACGGTTTCAAGTAACTTGTTGCATGGCTAATTTTCTTGTTCATGTTCTTTGTTCTTTGTCATGTTCTTAAAATAGCCTAGTAGGCCCACGTTTAGCCATGGCAACTCTGTAAGCTTTTGTATGATACATGTATATATACTGACAAGTAGCCATTTTTATACAAAAGGCTTACTGACTCGCCACGGCTAGCCCAAGTTATGTTCATCACAGTCTTGCAATACGAGCTATCACTGTGTTTGTGTATATATCATATACTTGCATACTTATTTGAAAACATTACAATGCAAATTATCGGTAGGCATATCAGCCAACTGTCACCAGCTTTATTGCCTTCCACTCGCTGGCTGTGATGTCATGGCGATCACTTAGCGTCCAGTCCAAAAACTGGGGGTTTGGGGGGTCTTTGGGAGCTTTTATGTGCTATATTCTGATTGCATATATAGACAACATAGCCAGCCTCGTTGAATTACCCCCGTTTTTTAAACTGGGCTGAACAGAAAACAGCCAAAGACTACCAAACCCCCAGTTCTATAAGCCTGCTACGGAGGCTAGCGATCGCTCGTATATTGAGATAATGCTTCAGAATCACTTAATGTACATAACCTTGACCTTTGACAGGTCAGTGACCTCCCTGTTGCTTGCTGGGAAGCACAAAGAGGCAAACTTTATTCTGGATCACATCAGAGGTAAACAACTTTTCATTCAATAATTTCACGGAATTAATTTCGCAGTTAGAGTCAGGAAATTGGACTTGTTTACTGTGTAATATTATAAAACAGTGCTGTAGCACAGAACATATTAAATTTAGTTTACGCCTTTACGGTGTAAAGGTCACTGCAAAAATGTGAACATAAAACTACTGCAAACATTTCTTGATGAACATAAAACTACTGCAAACATTTCTTGATTTACAGTATTTGTCATCTAATAAATTATGCATTAGATGTCTTTAATGCTATAATTGTACAGAAAAAATACAAGAACTAAGATAATAAATTGAAAAATGACACAGCTATCAACAAGTCATCCATCTGCTTTTCTGAGTTATTTACATGGTACCTTTTCAGGGCTCAAAATACTGGGTGCATGTGCACCTTATTAGTGCACCCAAGGACATTATCTGTGTATAATGTCCTTGGTGCACCCAAATTTGGAGCTGTGCATCCTTTTTTTTTTTGGTGCACCCAAGTATTTTCTTAGGTTTAATATATGTAAATAAATATGTTAAATATATAGTAGTTACAGCATATTCATAATTAACATCTAAGTGTCAGAAAAATATTAATGTTAATATTATAAGGTAACAATGACAATAGAAAGCATTGTATTCTCGCCGGTTCTAACCCCTCCCTCAAGCGGGGCCGCGGCCACCTGTTTGAACACGTGCGAGTGCACGTGCCAGCGTCGTGTTCGAACAGGTGATCTATACCAGTACCGTTTGAGGGAAGGGGCTCTAGAACCGGCGATAATACAGTGCTTTCTATTGTCATAATTGTTACCTTACAATATTAACAATATACATTGTTACATATGTTCAGCCACCTGCAGGAAAGGCGGCGACTTTGTCTCACCTGGAGCAGAGGAGGGACAGAAGAGTGCGAATGGAGCTTACAACGAGTTTTGGTCGTACGCTAACGGCTGGATCGCCATGGGCGCAGTGCGGCTGCAAAGGTTCGACGTTGCATATCCGGCGTACAGGTAGGCTACAGGCATTTCCTAGTAGTTATAGGCCACACCAATTTTAATTTCTTGGTTACACTCAATCTTTGCACATTTAATTACAGGAGTTGTATAAAGCTTTGTAGTGATGATGGCAACGAGTTCCAGTCTACGATAGCTCTGGGGAGATACAAGTTTTTGAATACATCAATTCTTGGTTGATAACTCAGATCTGATATTTGAAGGCATGACTGTTTCTTGTTCTTTTCTGGGCTGGTATCTATCCATGGAACAGGTACTTGGAGGAGAAGTTCTTCCACCGAGAGCTAGGTGGCGGTACCGTAAAACCGCTCTCTAAGACAGGTATTGGTTCTTGATTCTTCCGTCCATTCTTTAATGCTTAAGGCCACACTGACGTAATTTTATGGATGACATCCTTGTAAGACCCCCAAAGTTGTGTGAGCCTGCTGTCAGTAGCCACAATGGATTCTTGTTTTTTTTAGAACATGCACACACGGATGTTATCCATAAAATTAAATCTGTGTTGCCTTAAGTTGCTTGAAGCAGTCAGTGTACACACAGATTCTTTGGAGAAGGGGTAGGCAAGTTTTGGGATGTGGTAGTGATTGTAGGTTATAATCAAGAGGTTACATGTACATATTTTAAGTGTCTCTCCCTTTGATAATTGTTTTTGGATGTCTAATTTACTATCGTAATGGTGTTCAATTAATGCAGGAAAAGTTTTATTGTGTCAAACATAGTTGTACAAGATGATGAAAAACTTAAACTGTTAAAATAAAATGTGAATAATCAAGTATTCCACATTCCAGTTATTTTTAGGTAATTAATGTATAATGATATGGATTTTATTGAATAACTTAGCAATTTTAATTTGTTATGCCAGATATGTCAAGAAATGAAATTGTACAGCAAGACACAATTTAGCCAATGGCTACAAGTTCTTGTTTGTTTTCACAAATAAACCATTTGACTGACTGATTGATTGATTGATTGATTGGTTGATTGATTTTTGCAAATAAACCATTTGACTGATTGATTGATTGATTGATTGATCGATTGGTTGATTGATTTTTGCTTGTCACAGAGCCCAACATTGTGGAGGTCATTTCGACCTCACACCTGGGCATGGTGTTCATGTCCTTCGGCGACCTGGACAAGGCCTGGAGATGTGGAGAAAACCTGACACTGTTCACCAAGAAAAACCTCCATCATGATGACGATCCCAACACCTTCTATCTACGCATGGATGACAAGGAGAAACTGGTTTGTTCTCTCTCAATTTGTTGCCTTTGTGGCCTTATGTTAGCCTCCGTAGCAGGCTTATAGAACTGGGGGTTTGGTGGTCTTCGGCTGTTTTCTGATTAGCCCAGTTCTAAAAAATGGGGGTATTTCAACCAGGCCGGCTATGTTGTCTATATGCAATCAGAAAATAGCACAAAAAAGATCCCAAAGACCATGAAGACCCCCAAAACCCCCAGTTTTTGGCATGCTATGGAGGCTAGCCTTATGTGTCTAACCCTGATGCTGTTCACCAAGTTGAACCTCCATCATGACGTTCCCAACACCTTCTATCTACGCATGGATGACAAGGAGAAACTGGTTTGTTCTCTCTCAGTTTGTTGCCTTTGTGGCCTTATGCTAGCCTCCGTAGCAGGCTTATAGAACTGGGAGTTTGGTGGTCTTCGGCTGTTTTCTGATTAGCCCAGTTCTACATTTTGTAAATGGGGGTATTTCAACCAGACCGGCTATGTTGTCTATATGCAATCAGAAAATAGCACATAAAAGCTCCCAAAGACCATGAAGACCCCCAAAACCCCCAGTTTTTGGCATGCCATGCAGGCTATCCTTATGTGTCCAACCCATTCCTATAGTATACCTGACTCTGGGTCGCTTCTCACATACTACCAGTAGTATGGTATCCCAGGCCAGGGATCAAACCCATGCCAAGCGCAGGCACCCCAACGCTCTAACCATTTGGCCAAAAGGTCTGGACCCATCAGACGGATCAGTTGGTAGCACTTGTAAACCCCACACTGTTACACAAGAGTTGTCATGAAGATCTTAAATATAACCTTGTCCTGCGGAGCCCAACAATTGTTGTTTTGCACATACAGTACCATTTACATAGAACTCTGCATAGGTACTATTTGGGGGTATTTCTCGTGCAATGCATCACACTGCAGTGAAACGCAATTGAATGTGGAGGTAACTACATGTATGCCACCGAAGGGTGAAAAAAGTCGGGTGTCTATGACCTGATAAAGACATGAAATTATTTTAAAATACTGTGTAAAAAAATGCCAGCAGGACAAGGGTTAAAAGATTTGAATGATATCAGATTCTGTGATTGATTTTGTTTCTTTTAACTAAAGCTATAATCTTTTAACTCAGATAAAAGACTTCCCAGCAGAGGCGGCAGCCATTTGTGCCGTGAAGGCGACTGAGCCGAACCAGCTGTACTTCTTCATCGGATATCCCATCGCTTTCCTGGCAAAACTGTTCGTGGCCACCGGTGAAGACAAATTCAGGTTTGTGGATTTGTTTTCCTTGTATGGAGGTTTTCTTTTTGGTGTGTCTGTAAAAAGTCAGTGTGACCTGATAACTTTTTCATAGAATAAAGAATAATTTTTTAGATTTTTAGCAAGACATAGAAATACTCTTTGCTTGCTACACATTTGACTATAATAGGTGCATATTTCATCATTTAAGCTATCAACCTGGCTCATAAATGGAACCTTTAATTGCTATCACTTGCTCACTGTCAGGTTTAATGTCTGTTGGTCCCCATCTTTCGAAGTTGGACGTGCTTGCACATTGATGCTGAGGCTTGATGGTAGCCTGTCGTTTGCCTCTGTCCTGTGGATTGATGCTGTTTTGTTTTTTGTTATTTTTGTCCGTGTCAGACACTGCGCTGTTTACCGAAGGAAAACATATTTGTTTTTGCTCAGTTTCCTCTTCTTCTTCTCGTTTTTTGTTTGTTTGTTTGTTCATTATTTATTTTCTTCCCTGTCAGAGACTGTGCTGAAGAGCTTCTTGAGTTCTGCATGAGGTGTGATGAGTCCATCTACAGCTCTAACTTCAGCCACAAGGTGGGGTGGGGGGCGGCCTGCCTCGCCGCTGTCTATCGCAACAGGAACAGCAAAAAAGAAAAGTACATCCAGGTACTGTAAATGCATTTATTTTCACAGGGCAAAAATACCGGGCATATACTTCATTAGATTTGCAGTGTGTAAAAAAAGTATATACATACATTGTATACCAGGTGGATGCAAAAATTATACAAAATGATATATTGCTGTTTATCACAACAGGAACAGCAAAAAAGAAAAGTACTTCCAGGTACTGTAAAGGCATTTATTTTCACAGGGCAAAAATAAGACCACCGGGCATACTTGAAGCATTAGATTTACAGTGTATAAAAAAAATAAACAGAAACTTTTATTGACACAACAAAAGTACAGTAACTTTCGTAAGGTCCTTAACTACATGTACATATACCAGTGAGGTGGATGCAAAAATTATACAAAATGATATAATGGTATTGGATATACATGTATTGTGCATTATTACAAACAGATTGTGCAACAGATTGTTTTTGCTACATTTTCTCCTTCTTCTCCAAACAATGACATCAATGACCTGAACCAGACTGTCTGTTACCATGGTAACTGGTGTTGGGTTACATAATGTTGCAATTTCATAGTAGGAGGGATTTAGACTCCTGTCACCATATGTATGAAATGTGTTTGAGTAAGAATTAATAGAGCAGACCATATGTGAAGGTTAAAATGACACATTATGCTTTGCAAATGTTGCCTTTTTAGTTTATTTGTGTATTTGTTTGTTTGTTTGTTTGTTTGTAGGTGGCTACAAAGATCGCGGACCACCTGGTGTCTCTGCAGAGTGACCGCGGCTCCTTCCTGGACTCGGGCCCTGAGATGGACAACCTGGACCAGACCGCGGAAATCTCCGTTTGGCTGCGCGAGATCGCCACAGAGCTAGACAGGGTGGCAGAGTTGGACAGGGCTAAAAGCCTCAAATTTGGCAATTAGCCCTCTCAAATTTGAAAGATGGTTTGTCCTTTTGCAAAAAGGATCAAATATCACTAACTAAGTTTACCTATTGTTTGCTTCAGGCACTATATATATATACTTGTATGTGTGAAGACTAGACTAGCCGACTGCTGCCCACCCGAGTCATGGACCCTTGCATGTAATCTCCAAGCAGATCCCTCTCGGTGGCAAAAAGACAGTATCAAATTGGCCTGGCAGTATCCATTAGCCAGAGAAGGTTGCCAGCCACCGACAGTGTCGGTTGGTGGGGGTACCAACAAAAAAAAACAAAAAAAAAAACATGCCATATATAAAAAGCTAACGATCATTCCCCCACAACCTCTGCTTGGAGAGTACCTTGCTTGTACAGCAGTTTGTATCATCAATATGCAGCAGTATAATCAAAGACTGGATACTACTACTATTAGCAAGGCTATGCATATCATATGTTCCTTTTTGGATAAGGAATAGATCAATGAATCAGCATCAATATCGCCTCTGCATGAAAGTGTGTCCAAACATAGCGCCGTCAAACGGCTGAATGCATAAGTGCAGGCAAACCTGGCATATCTGGCAGCTGCAATAATGACATAACCTGCTAGGAGTCCTCACTGTCACGTGTGGATGAATCAGATAACTGATGTACTGCAAAAATGTTTTCATTTGACGTGAAAATTGCCATATAAGGCTCAAAGCTACAAACTTTGTGGCACCTTTGCTGGAGAGTCTTTTTTTGGTCTCAATCTGTGTGTGTGTGTATGTGTACGTTTGTGCATATGTGTGTGATACTAGTATTTGTATAATAGAGAGAACTTTATTGACACAACAAAAAATACAGCGACTTTTGTAAGGTCAAAGACATGTAGATATACAGACAAATATACATGGGTACAACGAAAATATCCTAATAAGCAGATAATTTTTCATGCGGATTCACAATTGATGTAACAAAAAGACACTGCCTTAATACGTGCTGAAACTTTATTGAAACATTCTTCCTGATTAAAACTTTACGCAAATAATATACAATCTCTAGCTTATACGGTGTAAGATTCCACACAGTCAGTCTATAGAATATATTCTCCTATTGGATATCTGAGTAAAAAGTTTCACTTGGTTGGTTATAGCTATATCTGCCAACACCCAATTTGCCTCGAATACTGTTTGTAAATGAAGGGAATCGAAGAATATAAGAAAGTTCTTCGTCCAAGTGAGGTAGGTATGTCCAGGTTCACATTGGTATTTTGATGTGGAGTGTAGCTAACTCCTTATTCACCGGCAAATCTTACAATACATTACATCGACTTACAATAGGGACAAATTACTGAAAACTAGTTTTTGATAAAGTCTAGTTTATAATTAAGGGTTAATGACCCGCCCCGAGGTGAATATGGTGTGATAAAGCCTTGTCAGTTGCTATAACCACCGAATGAAGCCACCTCGTTCGCTGCGCTCACTCGGTGACTTCATGATAATCTGATTATCTATATGATAATCAGTCATACAATATATATGATAATCAGTCATACAATCCAATAAACGTACCGTTGAAACGCCTTGTATTAAGCTAACTGGTAATCACTATTTTGGTAATATAAGTGAGGTATGTATACGGCATATTGTTACGGTGTTAAGCCATGGTGAATACTGTATGTGAGTTCTGGAGTTCTGTGGAGCTTCGGTAGCTTGGGTGCCATCCTCCGTAGTTACCGCCGGCTCCTTATTGTCGCTAACTACCATGGAGTATACGGAGGATGGCACCCAGGCCAGAGGCAGAGCCTCAGAAAAGGTTAGAACAGGCGAAAATCAATGCGCGCGCGGCTGTCATCCACATGTATTTAGTTTGTTAGATCTTTAGTTGTAGAAGACCATACAAAAGTCCCTGTGCTTTTTTTGTGGTGTCAATAAAGAATGTACATTATTTCGATCCCGATCGGCGGTCAATCCCGGCCCATTTTTTTCACTGTGAACGGGACCTTAATGTGAACGGGGTGTATCAGTGTGGCCTTATTTTACAAGATCTGACAGAAGTCGGGCGCTTCCCTGGGTTCAATGGCCCGCTGTTTGTAAGTCTTCAGGCCCTTCTTGCAGTCCCGGCACTGGTGGCACTTCCTGCAGTACCGACACGATCTGCCAGAGGTCCCTCCCCTGGCACGGCACATCCGGCACACCTTCTGCCCCTTCACGGACTCGCACTGGCCGCAGGCCTGAAAGTACATGTAGAGTATAACTACTTTAGCTAGTAGAAAGGTAACATTTGCAAAGCAAATGCATACTGTTTACCTTCACATGCTCTAGCCTTACAAAGTACTGCTCTGTTTATTCTAACTCTAACACATTTATGTATATATGGTAACCCTCCCCCACTCGTCTTCAACTCCTGCACGGTGAACTTTGTTCCCACGTTCAAGTATCTTGGATCTATAATCTCCAAGACGGGGGATCTAAAGCCAGAAATCAACCAAAGACGTGCCCAAGCTTCAGCAGTCCTGCAGTCTCTGTGGAAGCCACTTTGGCGACATCGCCACATCACACAGCAGACGAAACAACGCATCTATAACTCCTCTGTCATCTCGGTCCTACTGTACGGATCAGAAACCTGGGCACTGAACAGCACGCTGGAATCACGTTTAGACGGATTCGACAGCAGAGCCCTCCGGAGGATTACCGGCACTCGCTGGCATGAACATGTCAGCAATAAGGACCTCCGTGACCTGACCGGACAACCTGCTGCATCGTGCCTTGCAGCTGCACGACGGATCCGTTGGTACGGTCACGTTCTCCGCCTCCCTCCCTGGCACCCCGTGCCTTGCTGGACTTTGCCCCTGAACAGGCAGGATTGCGGCGGCCCAGGGGGGCCCCACGTACCAGATGGATGGACGCTGTCCGACGTGACCTGAGCAACATCAACATCCAGCTCCCCCAGACACAGCAGCTGGCTGAAGACAGAGGAAAGTGGCGGGCCCTGACAACGCTAGTCAGCTCTACGCACCACGTGCAAGAGGATTGAGTGAGTGAGTGAGTGGTAACCAGTCCCTTGCTACATGTAATTCAACACTACAGGGTGTCTGCTACAGCACAAGTTACCAAGGTGACAGTCATCCGCTCCAAGCCTAGGTCATTAACCTTATGCGTTTGGAATGGAAGAAGAAACTGAGCAAAAACAATATGTTTCCTTTTGAGAAGGTAAACATGATAATCTCCAAACAGATCTTTTGGTGGCTGACAATATCAAATTGACAAGACAGTATCATTGGCAAGATAGTACCAAATAAGCCACCGAAGGCTGACTAAAATCACAATACAAAATACGAAAGCCCGATAAAAAAAGTCTAAAACACAAGAAAACCAGCACTTGTCCAGGTGAAAAACATGCCAAAATGTCGCCAGGGACCCAAGTTTCCATCTAAAAGTAGTCGTAAACCCAGTGTTACTGAAAAAGCATGTAAAGAGAGAACGACTTGTGTTTGGGAAGATTATATTTTACACGTCAGGTATTGCTACATGTAAGTGTTACCTTTTTCACAGTCTTTGCCGTGCAGATGACGGGATGTGACGTAGGGAAGGGTTCGGCACGGGCTGACCGGACTGGGAGACTACCCGGCGCTGTGGATAGAAAAATAGTCAGTAGTTACAACTGATCAATATATACAAGTCCTGGACAATAGTGTTACATTGCCATATAGTAATAATTGCTAACTTCTGCAATCAAATGTGCAAAGATTGAGTGTAACAAGCTAGCTGCCGCCGCGCCGCGTGCCTGCGAAGCTGGTGTGTTACGCCGAAGGGCGGTTATATTGGCTATACCGATACAGAAACTTACATCCATGAATTGCTATTTGGACCTCGATTTTCATTCGTTCGTAATTATTTTTATTCAGGTACATTGTACGTTGTGTACCTTAAATGAGATTTCATTTTTTACCTTACTATTTAGTTTATCATCATGAAACATTTTTTTTTGTATTTGTACGTCGCAATGACAAATTTAAACCTATGTAGTGAATCGTGTCTATAATTATAAACACCAAAATTATGAGTGGTAGATTGACACTGCCTACCTGTGTTCCTCCCCGTTGGCTGGAGAACTGCGAGTTCCAGCAAGTCGAACTTCTGGTACAGATCGCAGACTTCTCTGGCCACCTCCTCTGCTACAAACTCGCCCTGTGAGAAAAAAAGGTGTTTATAGTTTGGGATTAATTAGTGTAAACCAGCTGGTGTAAACGGTCAATGTTATTCTCACATAGAAAATACAACTGCTAGCTACTACTGGATAAATTACGGGGATAACTTCCGAACGATTCGAATGACATCCACCACTCTAGCTTCTTCAGGGTCACTATCGAACTAACAGAACAGCACAATACTGATGATATGTCCTGAGTATAGTCCATTTTGATAATTAGGAGGTAGCAAATTCAGACATACAAAGTGACACCGAACGAAAAAATACGAAAAATGGTGGGTTTACTAATGGTAGTAAATGCCAGTTAAATCGGGTAATGTTTACTTTGTAAACAGTACCGGAACTCCCGACTTCCAATTGGCATTCACAACCATTGGCAAATCCCACTTTTCGTGCGGTGTAATGCATTATTCCACAAGCTTACATCCGCTTAACACAGTGCAATGGCCAGGTGGGTAGAGTGCTCGCCTTTTGCATTCGATAGTTCGTGAGTTTGATCCCCGTCCGAGTGATACCAAAGACTTTAAAAATGGTACATGCTGCGTTCTCTGCTTAGAACTCAGCATTTCAGAAAGAGTATGGGAGTTGCTTGACACATACCACTACCAGTGGACTAGCCCCCTGCTGTAGTGATTGCACTATTGTGTGGCCCACGGGCCACTGAACCGGAGATAGGCGCCGCCCTATGCACCACGTGATGCGGGAAGGACAAAACTTTTTTGAACTTTAACTTACATCCGCTGAGGTTGCCAGTCCAGGCCTGCCCGCGGGTCCAGGTGCACCGGGTCGCCCGTACGACCCAGGCGGGCCCTCCGGTCCGGGCGGCCTTCCGGTCCAACGAACCGCTACTAGTGGACTAGCCTAATCTCCAAGCAGATCTTTCGGTTGGGTGGCAAAAGACCGTATCCATTGGCCATCCTGTATCCATTGGCCGTCCTGTATCCATTTGCCAACCTAATGGACACTCCTCTGGCCAATGGATACTGTCTTGCCACCGAAAGATCTGCTTGGAGATTAGGACTAGCCTCGTGCTGTAGTGGTTGCACTATTGTGTGGCCCAAGGGCTACTGAACCGGAGATGGGTGCTGCCCTATGAGCCCTATACGGCCTACGGGAAGAACTTTAAACTTACATCTGCTGAGGTTGCCAGTCCAGGCCTGCCCGCGGGTCCAGGTGCACCGGGTCGCCCGTACGGCCCAGGCGGGCCCTCCGGTCCGGGCGGACCCTCCGGCCCCACGAACCCCTGGCTCCCCTTCAGTCCTGGTGGGCCCGTCGGTCCGGGGGGACCAGGGAAGCCTCGCGGCCCTGGAGAAACAGTTGTGGTTACTGTTGTGTTCTTGAACTAGACGATCGACGACAGAGACTTTGACGTGTCTTAATCTGATCTTTTTGTGATGCTTAAATCCAGAAGGGTTAGTGTGGTACAGTATGCGTCTGTGCTCAACCTTGGCCAGACGCGGAAGAGATCGTCTTGCTAGAGACGTTACGTTTCTTGAGCACTTCCTACTTAATTCATACTGGGCTATACTGACACAGAGAGTTGGAGAGGTGTTGCTCTAGCCATAATACAACAGTTACCTCCTAGCCTGGGTGCCAGACCCATAGTACACTAGGCACAAAGTATCTTCGTGCTCACTGAGATACTTTGTGTCCAGTGTGCTATGGGTCTGGCACCCAGGCTAGTTACCTCCATGAAGAATGAAGCTATTGGTTTCGGTATGCCTGGGTCTGTTTGCGTTTCCGCATGACCCTAATGATAAGGTTAGGTTGTAACGGATATGGATGTAGTTTGTCCCAGAGTGGGCATCTTAAGAACAAAATAGACAACACGGAGTCATGATCCTACCGGTCTGTCCTGACGGGTTGAACCCTCCCGTGCCTCCTCCAGGTTCCCCCTTCTGGCCCTTCAGGCCAGACAGTCCGGGCGGGCCCCGGTCTCCCCGATACCCCTTCTCTCCAGTCAGGCCAGGAGACCCTGGTAATATTATATGATAACGGAAAAATCACTGTTCAGCTCAATTAACCTCGACAAAAAATGTAAAACATTATCAAAAGAAGACACTTTTAAATATATCATATCATGTACAAATATAGACGTCATCAATGAAGTATGTAAGTATATTTCAAAATGTTTCAAAAAAAGAGAAGAAGCCATTAGAACTTAGATATATACCACTTTATATATATATTTCTTTTTTAGCATTGTATACCTTAGACCTGATGTTAGCCTTTCTTTATTACTATTGTTGTAGTACTCTCTAGTGCATTCTACTCTGTACATCTGTGCATTTATCCCCCCGGGGAATGAACATACAATAAAGTTTCATTATTAATTGATAACTGTATAATGTAATATTATTAATTGATGTAATAATTGATGCTTAATGTGTAATTTGCTATGTTGATAAGATAAGTTTTCCTGCAGTATAATGTCCTTGATAGCAGTTAAACGTGTATGCAAATAATAGTTGTATATTTACGTAAAGGACTCCAGGAAGAATAGTGATGTATATATTATCACTAATGGGAATTTCTAAACAAACAAACAAACAAACAAACAAACAAACCTGGTCTACCGGGAGTTCCTGGCAGCCCGGGAACTAAAGCCCGGGTCTCCCTTCGGTCCCTGTGGCCCTGGAAGACCGATGCCAACGGACAGACTTCTCAGCTGAAAATGGGAGAGAAAACTATGATACAATATATAATAAGTTGAAAAAAAACTTGCGCATGTCGATTTGACACCCCATTCAAAAGTACGGAAGTAAAAAGTCTGAATACCTGTTGTTCCAGTTCCACCATCCGTCTCTCCAAGGCTTCCACTCTGTCACAGCAATCTTAAAGTCCAAAATGAAACAGAAGTTAGACAAGTCAAGACAAGGGTGATGCAAATTTGTCAAAGGGATTGAGAAATAGTTCAGATGAGGTTATATTTACCTCCGTTTGTACTAGGGATGTCCGGATCCACTGGTTGCCGGTCGTCAGATGACCCCGGGAACCCAAACTCAGGCCTGGTGTTTCCATTATTTCCAGGATATGTCGGCCTGTCGGATGATGCGCCTAACATCAGGCAGCAAAAACAGCTATCAGAAACGCCGTGAAACCACCAAAATACATGTACACACAGCAAGTATATAACTTCTCTACGTTTGCAGACGAAAGGTGCACTTTTAAAATCAAGGGGCCAACGCATTACATAAGGGGGGGGGGGGCATTCGTCTTCTATTGGTTCCAAAGAGTCGAACCCACCAGTGCAACATCATTTTGAAATTGGAATAGCCTGTGCTTCTGCTGACACACAAGCAAACAAACAAACAAACAAACAAACAAACAAACAAACAAACAAACAGACAAACACACCAAAAACGAAACCCCCGTCCATCCAGAGGCACAAAAGTGCTTACCGCACAAGTTGGTGACACACCCAGCATTGCCACACCTCGAGCACGGCGCTCCGTTCACATACGGTCTCTCACCAACCGTGTTTCCTCTGGGAAAATAACGAGTGTGTCACAAGACACCGATAGAAGTTATTTTTACTATACTTAATCTACATTTGTATTGGTAACACTGATGCTTTGTAATTTTTTTTTTCATACAGAACCTACATAGCAAAGTACCACCCTCCACATGAAGGTTATAGAAGGGGCTTGTAGAAATAATTAAGGGCTCACAAACAAACAAACAAACAAACACACACACACACACACACACACAAACACAAGCAAACATACATGTACCAAAAGCAAAACTACGTAACTCCTCTATCACGTTATTCAGTCTATTTAGTATATTTGGCCAATTTCTACTATTTTTCCTACTCTCCAAGCAGAGGTTGTGGGGGAATGATCGTTAGCTTTTCATATATGGCCCTTTTTGTCGGTACCCCTACCGTCGATGGCCGGCGACCTTCTCTGGCTAATGGATACTGCCTGTCCAATTTGATACTGTCTTTTTGCCACCGAAAGGGATCTGCTTGGAGATTATATTTTTCCGGAGATATAAAGAGCCTGGTAGAGACTACTATAAGATGTAAACCTCAGGAGCCTGGTAGAGACTACTATAAGCTGTAACTTACGACGGAGCATAGTTGCAAACTACGAGGAACGAGTCCCGCCAGCCGAGTCCCTGGATGATGCCGCATTGGGTGACGCCGCAGCCGACCTGGTTAGTCGTGGCCCAGATCACCTTTTCAAACGAGATACAGAGTATACTAGAAAGTTAACAAGCAAATACATACCTTCACCAGGTCTAGCTCAACAAACTGCTGCACTGTTTATTCTTACTCAAAGCCATACGCATTCTAATGTATGGCGTGTAGCCTGTCCAACTCTGTTCTGCTACATAATGTGACCCAACACCACAATTAAGTTACTAAGGTGACAGACATCTGGTCCAGGTCATTGACCTTTTTGTCTGGGGAAGAAGAAGAGTAAGAAGAAGAAACCGTTGAGAGCAAAAACAATGTTTTCCTTCTGCGAAGGTAAACCCAAAAAGCTTTCTTGGTTAACTCCATTCGCAGCTTTTCCACCATAGAATTATTTTGAGTTTTAAAGTATTCTTCTATGAAGATATATCAAATTTTATGGTTCCAGGATTGAATAACAATATAATACGTCACAGGTTTCAAAATTTGCCATTCAGCACATGAGGTATCACATGAATTCATTGCTCTTTTGTTCACCTGAGTATAATGACCACAGGTACGGGCACACTGATTGGTTGAGAAAGTGTAGTCTTTCTGTTCAGTCAGCCAATCGGCTACCTCCTCTCCTGGTGTGTATTCTCCTGATAGAGAAATAACAGCAAAAACAAAAAAAAATCTTTCAATAAATAAAATAGCTGTAGACAGAAGAGAAATACCTTCATATCTTGAAGCGTGGCCAACATAGGATAGAATAGAGTACTTTAATGTAAAAACAAGAATTCAGAGATCTCAGACCTCCATGATATATTTAGATCTTGTGTGATGGTGACTGACTGTGTCCAACCATGCTGAAACACAGACACACATACGGACACACACACACACACACACACACACACGCACGCACACACGCACACACACACACACACACACACACACAAACACACACAAACAAAAAACAATAACAAACACCAAAAACAATACGGAAATTTTTCAGGGATGTAATGATACCATTCAGTAAAACCTTAAACTTTGTACATATAAATGATAACATAAATGTGAATTAGAAATCAACATTGCCAAAACAGCAAGTGTTACAATGAAACTAAATGTTGCTACATCCTACCGGAAGTGACGTATATGTTTTCTCCGACCGATCCGGGGAAGGTTTCCGCCCGCCGTGCATTGTGGTCGAAGATGCACCTGTCAGCCCAGGCCTGCGCAATGTCGGCCAGATCCTCGTTCCATGACTTCATTTTATGAAACACAACAAGGGTTTTCAATAACTCAACGTATAAAATGCTATGTCTAACATATCAAAATTATTGGAACCTCTCCCTTATGCTGAGGTCACATTTCCAAACCGGGGCCCGGCCGGGCTGTTTAGATTAACGAAAAATCAACAATTTATATCAATATTTTATATCCTTTTTTATCAACTTTTTCTTGTGCAGTTGTTGTATTTTATATCATACCTGTCGTTCCATAAGACTGCCTGGCCGGGTACTGGTTTGGAAATTTGATGATCTCATCATTACAAGTGCTTTCCTCCCAAACTTCAGTACAGTACAATCCATGAGCCTTCAAAACCAACGTTTACCGCTATATCCTACATTACCACTTATACATGTACCTTCAACCAATGGTGTTTAGTGCCAGAAGTGGTCTTTTGGCCTTGCAACGAGCAAGAGCAAACTTGTTCAAAATATGTCAACACTTAGGAAGTGTCGTAACTCCAATAGTCTTTCATCTATCCATCTATGCCAATGGATGGCTCATTACAATTTTACTTTTTCAATAACTTAAGCGAATTTTGTTTCTGTAAAACTAGTACCATATATGTTGTAGAATATACTAGTATAATGTTAGACGTAGATATAGTCACACATACCACTGTAGTTTCTTTCTATGTTGTTTGTACGAACTGCAATTAGCCCTCGGGCATGTATTTGCAATAAAACTTTCTTTCTATATATAATAACCTGTAGGACGATTACGAAGATCGATATCCTGGTTGGAAATCTACTTGGCACTGCCCTGGAGACCGACTGTTGACACGTACTGAAGAGGTAATCAATATAAGACTGGCGAAGTTGCAAAGGCCAAAGTTTATGGCTTGTGTAGTGTACTTGTCCCCAATCAAGGTCGCTTAAGAACACTCGAGCCAAAATTTGACGTAGTCTAGCCTTCTGTCGTCTGGCAAATAACCAAACCAAACGCCAAAGGCCGACTCCGAGCTTTTGTGCTTTTCTCCTAATCTCCAAGCAGATCCTAGGGTGGCAAAAAGACAGTATCATATGGGCCAGGCAGTATCCATTGGCCAGAGAGGGTCCAATTGGCCTTCCAAGGTGGGAGTAGCGACAAAAAAAGGGCCATTTATAAAAAAGGTAACGATATTTCCACATCAACCTTTGCTTGGAGAGTACTTTTG